CACCACAACTGTAGAAAATAAGATGGACTTCTCGCCACAACAACACAGAGGGCTTTCTCACATCTATACGAAACAAGATGGACTTCTAACCATACCTACACAACATTTGGACTTCACAGACTTTTCAACGCAATGTACAAGAGGGACTTCTCACCAAAACTACACCAAACAAAAGGAACTTCTCACCTTATTGAAGTTGTAGTAGCCCAAACAGTGGGCAAAATCCAGGTTGGGAGGTTCTCCCGGGATAGAATTCCCCCCAGCAGTCGGGTAAAACCTTACATCCATGGTGGTGCGTGAGGGAGCCGCGCGCCTGCAGCCTGCTGTGCCCGGAGCACAATTTGGTTTAGAATCCAAGCGCTCCGACAGGGATGGAGAAGAAAACCGAGCCCAGCTTTGGTGATGGGGAGATATAACCGGAGCAACAAGGAGGGGGGTGGGGGGGCAGGTAAAGTTTCGGTATCCTTCTTCTACACCTGGTTGAGCCGCTTCATTTCTCAGAAAGCCTGGATAAAGCGGACGGAGCCCAAGAAGCTGTCCCTCACAGAGCGGCAGGCGCTGCGCTCCTCTGCATTTACACACAGCTGCTGTGTACAAAGAAACCAGGAGACCGGCGAGTCCTCCTCCTCCTCCTCCTCCTCCTCCCTCACACGCACCGGCAAAATAAGACAAAATAAAACCCGCAAAAATGAGCGCAGTGGCAAGTCCGCGCGTCAACACTGAGCGGAGAAGTTTGGGAAACGGTCCGATTCCTCCACGGCGGCGCCCGGAAGTGCGTCTGTCCAACTTGGAAAACTAGTTGGTGAGAGTGGGGGGGTACAGTGGTGTTCAACACTCCACAGATGGTGTGATTAGTGAGCAGGATGGAGGACGGTGAGGACCCAAGTTCAGCCCTGGGCTCTGCCTGACTGTCCCAGTGATGAACAAGAAGTCAGCCCCGCCCCAAACGCTCCAAGCCCCGCCCCATGAAAACACTGCTGCGCTCTGAACAAGGCATGAGTCACTATTAAAGGCTCAACTTGCACTTCTTTAGGAGAAAATAATGATAGCTGTGCTGTTCAACATGTTTTAAGAACGCATCAACATTTTATCTTCTGCATTCTAATATTAAAGTTATTAAAGACATTTGTTGTCCTAAGTAAACAACAGCTTTTTTATGTATTATTTATTTATTTATGTATTTTGTGGACTGCAAGTTGGTTCATTTCTCCTTGACATGTTCAGTCTGTCTGTTCACCTCAGCTAAAACTACATAGCGTGTGGCTTTCTTCGGTTTCATCTTCTTGTTTCTTCTTCTGTGTGAGCAGCACCAAAGATGATGGCTTAGTGGTTAGCACTGTTACCTCACAGCAAATGTAGGTTCTGTGTTCAATCCCTGGTTTGCATCTGGATGTCTTTCTATGGTTTGCACATTTGTATGGGTGTTCTCCAGGTACTCTGGTTTCCTCTCACAGTCCAAAAACATGCATATTAGGCTGCCTTCAGGCCCAGGCCTCCCTTGCAGTGGAGATCAGTGATGTCAATGGGAATTGCCTGGTTTATTTAATTCATTTTTCTTCATTCATTTAAAAGAAATAAAATAAACAAAATAATTGCATCAAGAAGAAAAAGAAGCATTGAATGAAAAGGTTGCAGAAAGAAGAAAAATATTGTTATTATAATAAATTAATTAATGGTTAATTGATTAATTAATGACCTGGTTAATAAATATATATTTTGCTGCTACTTGGGGCAGTCTCAGGAATGTGCAAATAATCTGTGTTGGCTTTTTGAAGTTGTGTTGATCCCATTGACTGTTTAAATATATTAATAGATTAAATTTCCCCATCTTCTCTCTTTGTTGACAATTGAAGCCAATCATGTTTACAGCTGTATTTTTTGGAGCAGAGTCTCCACACAAAATTTAACTATTAACATTTTTAGAATAATGCACTGCAGCGGTCATCTTTCTTTTCCCTTTCATTTGTTGTTAGTCAGGCCTTGTTACTGTTATGATAAAATCAGTTGATGTTCTTGGTTCATGACTTAGCATTTAAACAAAGAATAGCCTCTTGTCCAAAGTTTTTAATTAATTAACCTTTAGGAACGCAAGCCCAACCACACCGGTCAAGTATTCACCATTGTACACTGTAACGTGACTCACACCAGCAACAACACTTGTAGGTGCATCATTGTGGTAGCTCGGAGAATAAAGGAGATTGTAGAAGGAGTAGATGCCACTAAACTCTATAAACCTAAACATCAATAGACCATAAGTCAAATATTACTTCTTTTTTTTTGTTTATCAGTGGTGTGGTACAAATGCACCAGTGGTGGACAATCAGGGATCATAACATGGATCAAAAATGTCTTCTCTGCTGGCCTAAACACAATCAGAATCATTAACTTACATTTTGGTATATTTTTCAAAAATTGTCATTATTCTGAAATGTCTGTTCTCTTCATTTCATAGTTTTTCTCCTGGTTGCACAGCTACCGGTAGCATACGTTTTTGGTAGAGGTGTTATCCAATCAGATTTCAACAATCATTTGATGCTAGAAACAAATAAATCTGGCTTGAAGCCTTCAAAATAAACAGTGCAGGTGTTTGTAGGTTAAAACAAATGGCACTACAACTGTTGCTTTGACCAGTGGGATGTTGAGTTGGTATCACCAGTGTCTTTTAGCAGGCATTAGTCAATGTCAGCATTTTCAGGTCGTTTGATCGGACGGTCAGAGAGCATACCGTCAGAGTTAGGAATCTGCACCTGTAGCAACTTGTACAAAATGTAGAGCTCTAGCATCAACGTGTGGCATGGAGGCTGCACAGCTGCAGAAAGAAAAGCTTTGCAGAGAGTGGTGAAGGCTGCACAGAAGTTTGTTGGTTTCAGCCTCCCCAGAGGGCCACCTGCATCATGAAGGACCCCACTCACCCAGCACACACATTTTTTGCCTCGCTCCCCTATGGCAGAAGGTGCTGCTGTTTGGCATATTGGTTTTGTACTACTAGTGCTTAGTGTATTTTTAGTCTAATGTTTTTCTTAGTCCATATCTTAGATCTTATTACTGTTTTTCTTTTACATTTTATACTTTTGTTGGATGTAACTGGGACTCTGTGTACACAATTTCGTTCCACCACATGTACCACAACTGGTTAGAATGACAAATAAAGAAACTCTGACTGACTCTGACATTCTCGGCCCTAAAGTGAATAAAACGTACACCAGAAAATGGACAGGGCAGACTGGACTTGCAGCGAGATTGTGTACAGAAAATCTAATTTTTTTGAGTAAAACACATCTTCTTTTTTTCCCAAATATTTTACAATTGTAAAAATCTACCTGGATGATTGAGCTTACAACCCTCTTTTAATTTTTATTTTACAATTATGTCATTTTATTACATTAATATTGATGCTTTTGGTTGATATGTGGTGCAGCACTGGCTGCAGTAAAAGGAAACTTGTTGAAATATATTAATTGGGTTTCTTGCTGCGTGGCACGGTGGCACAGTTGATAGAGCTGCCACCTCTCAGACTGAAGGTTGTCTGATCAAATCCCAGGTGGAGAATGGCTTTCTGGGTGGGTTCGTGTTCTCTCTGTGCATGTGTGGGTTTTCTCTGGGTACTCCAGTTTCCTGCTACATACCAAAAACATGCATGTTAGGCTGATTGGTAACTAAATAGTCCCTGAGTGAGAGAGTGAATCTTTGTCTTGTTTGTCTCTATGCGTCCCTGAGATGGACTGGAGACCTGTCCAGGGTGTCCCCCACCTCTTGCACAGCGACTGCTGGATATGAGCACCAGTAACCCCCACAACCCGAAAAGGAAGAAGTGGGTAAAAATAATGGATGGATGAAGGTTTCTTGCTTGAGTAATGGTATTCATTCTTGCTACATGATATTTGTCTGTGATGCAGCGCCATATTATTCTGTGTTTCTGTGTATTATTGATGGGGCTGCAGTAGCTTGGTGGTCACTTCCATGGTCCTGTAATCCTGAGGTTGTGAGCTCAAGCCCAGGTTGCGTCAGGAAGGACATCCAGTGTAAAACACTTGCCAAATCTTTCGTGTGAGTTTTCTCGCTGTGATGACCCCTGAAGAAGGGCGCAGCCGGAAGACCCTTACCTTTTCTGTGCATTATCGATGGTTTCTGTAGCCATGGGGAAAGTGGGGAATACTGTAGGTGTCTTGCTCAAGGACTTCTTGGAATTCTGTCTTTTTTTAATTGATTCATTTTACATATTAAGGTTTCAATATAATTCCTAAACCTTCACAAGTGAGTACATGTGAGGACCATACAGACCAGCACAGCATGTCTGCAGAAGCAATACATTTTCACAGCGTTTATAATTTTCCCATTTTTATTTGAATTATAAAAAAAAGCACACATTTAACTGGTGGCTTTCATTTGCAGTTTGCTTTACAACTCTGTCCAAACTGAATCAACAAGCAGCTTAAAACTGATTAGATCCATTCTATTACTGTGGAAGAATACAGTCTAATAAAGCTTGCAGCAGAGAAAACTAATTACCAAGCAGAGCAATAAAAAGCTATTTCTGTAAGATTAAAGTAGAAGATATAATTCTCAGTTACCATCTAACATGAAAGCAACTGTATTCATAAATTATTAGTTATAGTCATTTGTTAACGGAACAAAAACAACAAAAAAAAGGTGTTTTTTTTCAAACATAATGTTATCTTTCTGAAATGTTTTGTGCAGAGCAAATAATTTCTATTTTTTTAATATAACTAACTTATTTTAATTCCAGTCACTAGATTCAATTATGATTCCATCAAACATGTTTCATCCTCATCCTGCAGTTAAATGTGCTTCAGTAACTATTATAAAATCATGGAAATATTAACAAACATGAGTTCACTTCAGGCGTATTTTCTGTTTTCTCTGTGCATTTGAAGCTTTTTGTGGCTCATTTTTCTGTGTTAAATGACACATGAAATGGGTTGGCTAACTGTAGAGAGTGGTGCTTTTCTTCAGAAAACATGATGTAAAATAAAACTCAAAAAATTACAAATATGCACACAATAAAATGCAGCCAAAGTCTGTTCTCCTATGTATTATTTATTCTTAGTAGAGAAGCCACCCACAAACATAAAAAAATAATAATAATTAAATTAAATTGCCTATGTCTTTCATGGCATCTGACTCAACTCTGTACACTGTTCTATTTGTAGTCTATGCAGTGGCACACGGTGTCACTCTCACTTTCAGAATTGTGCAAGTCTTCCTTTAGGGAGCTTTATTTGACAGAGTTATTTCAAGACAACACAATACCTGACTCCATTCAGGAACA